CTAAGTCATACGGCAGAATTTACTATCAAAATTATTGTGCAACAAAAATTGATGTCATACCATATACCTGCTCTTAACTTGCGCATTTGGCCAAAGGAAACTTGAAACCTGTTGATTTGGTTCGATTCTTGCTTTTCTTGGATAGACTGAATTCATTGTGTTGATTCGATATAATCATTAGGGTCTCAATTAGATGATTTTCACAATTAATTCAAAGTCACGAGTTAGAACATCTGGTTGGTATAGTAGATCTATCAATCGTGTCAGATGAGAGAGATTTGTGTCAAATTTTATAAGTTCGTGTTGAAAAATATTTTACTCATACCTAATTTATTTATTAATTTATATATAACAAATCATGTTATATTAATTTGTGTCGTGTATAAATCTGAATATTTATCTAATATCTCTTAGAACAACTCCAACATACTATGTAAAAGAGACCTGTTAGCTATTTTAGATGGTCATTCCATAATTTTGTTGCTCCAACGGGTTATGTATATCACTTGGTATTACTTATAATCCAGTATTGGCTCATTGGATCTGGTGACCTCCAAGGCTAATTATTTCTTCAACAAAATATCGCTGAATTTGTGCAAAAAACATCGCTGCATAAAAGTTTCACAAAAGTTTAGTTCATAGAAGGTATCATCTTTATCACAGCAGATCAATCCACATAAGCTCCTCCATCATTTTTATCATCTCCAATATAGTGCTCTCTCTCTCTCTCTCTCTCTCTCTCATACACACACTCACACAAACTCCATCGTCTCAACCTGAGATATTTGAGTTGGGTTGAGAAGATCAAAAACTAATCACAATTTAGAATCTTTGGGTTATGTTAACAATTTTGGAGGTGGGTTTTGTTTTTGTGACTCTTGATATGGGGTTTTCAGGAAGATTAAAAATTGTGGCTCACTTGATTTGAGTTTATTTTTTTTTTTAATAATGAATATTTAATTAAAAATAATTAAAATAATTAACTAAAATAGATAGCGTTGTTAAAGTGAATTAAAAGAGGTTAGTCTTTAAAATAGATAGTGCAATAAAAAAATATATTTTAGCTAATTATTCTAGATAATGTTATTAGAGTTGCTATTAGTAGCATTATTTTCTATCGGTTGTTTGTATATACGCGTCACATAAATATGTGACAATGCGTAATGTTACTGCGTAAACTGAGAAAAGGCAAAGTGTGGGGTGTACTTTGTATATTGGGGTAAGAAATGAAAAATCATCCAAACTAGGGGTAAAACGAGAAAATCTCAATACGATAACGTGATTGATGCGGAGGATTAGAGGTGGCAAATGGTGGATTGTGGCGGTGAAGTTAGTATTAGTAATATGAGCTGAGTAGTTAGTAATGAGCTGCGACAGTGATCGATAATTATAGAGTAAGGGAAGGGATAAGTAGACTCGCAGAGAGAGAATCGAGCGGTCCAAAATGGGAGAGCGCGGTGGAGGAGGTTGCTGTCCGCCGATGGATCTGATGAGGTCGGAGCCGATGCAGCTGGTTCAACTCATCATCCCAATCGAATCTTCTCACCTCACCGTCGCTTATCTCGGCGACGTTGGGCTCATCCAATTCAAAGACGTCTGTACTTTCTTTCTCTACTCTCTTTCTGATGTATATATGTACTGTAATTGTGTATTGTTATGGTGTTTTAGTGCGCTGAAACCCTTGATGTATCTGTATATTACATATTTCTCGACAAAGATCGCAAGTTTGTGTCGCTGATGTACTGCAGTTAGGGTTTTGATTCAGTTCTCTGTTCCGAGTCTTTGTCGATTGATCTGTTTGATAGTTATGATTTACAGTGACAGAACTGAATTCCACTTGATTGGCAAGGTTTTGAGTGAATCGTTACCGTTAGTTTGAGTTTTGAAGTAAGAATGAAGTACTTATAGAAGACGTGAGAATGTGTACTCTTGACCGCACATAGAAAGAGGATTTAGTATCCCGGCAAAGATCTTGATGTATATGTACATTACATCTATCTCGATAAAGATTGCAAGTTTGTGTCGATGATGTACTGTAGTTAGGGCTTTGATACAGTTCTCTCGATTGGTCAGTCTGATAGTTATGATTTACAATGACAGAACTGAATTCCACTTGATTGGCAAGGTTTTGAGTGAATCTTTACCAATAGTTTGAGTTTTGAAATAAGAATGAAGTACTTGTAAGTCATAAAAGACATGAGAATGTGTACTCTTGACCGCACATAGAAAGAGGATTTAGTATCCCCGGCTTTATTATGTTTTGCTGTGAATGGAAGTTCTTAGTTTACACAAATATTTCCATCTGTAGTTTATTTCTCGAGTGTTACATGGATCCTTAATGTATAAGGCACCTAACTTTCCAGTGGTTTACTAGCTTGAAGTCGGAATTAAGTGTATAAAGGCACTGTTTATCAATTAAGAAAAAAATAAAATAATTGGCGCTGATTGCGTGGGACTTGAAAATGTACTGGATGATGTTCTTGTTTCTAAAAGATTCTTAAAGAAAACAATACTTAATTTGGAGAGAAAAGGGAAGGAGAAGATAGTGTTTTTCTTTCCTCGGGGAATGTCAGTTTGAATGAATTCCTTTTTGTTTAACATTTATGTACCTATAATGGTTGTAGGTCATGTTGAAAATTTTCGAGCTTATTCTATTCTTCCACACTAGTGATGCCCTTACCTGCATTTTTCTTTCAGCTGAATGCAGAAAAGAGCCCTTTCCAGCGAACATATGCTACACAGGTAAATTCTTGTTTTCATCCATAAATTTTGCAACTTGTTCCTCTCACATGGCTAATGATTTGCATCAAAGGTACCGCTGGTAAGTTGTCTGCTCATATACATTGGGTTGTTATCTCACATACAAATCAAATAAATTGTTTGCCACATACCTAAAGCTATTTTCTTTTAGCTTTTTTGTTATAGTGAAATCAGAATCTAATCACTTTGTCCCAGAATATGCAAAAACCCAACTTTTTGAGGAAAATTATAGTGTGTTTAAGTTATGGTGGGAACCTTTTAGTTTCCATCATTATCATCCCTTTAAATTTGTAGTTTTACCTTCTGGATTTCTTATCAAATTTGAATTCAAGGTATATTTGGGACTGGAATCTATGGCACACGCAATGCCTGCATAAATTAATCTGCTGAATTCTTAAAATTGAAACTAAAGCAAGATGAGTGACCAAAATAAGATGAAAATAGTTTTTATTTATTAGCTTTATTCCTGTTCAGGATGTGGAGGAGAAAGTTTATTTATTTATTTTTTGGGAGGGGGGGAGTGAGATGGTTATGGAAGTATTTTGAGAGTGAGGCTAAGTAGAAATCTTCAGTATGGTAGGCATTTGATTTAGGGAGGGAACTAAGGAGAGACAAGTCCTCCTTTCACTTAATGTATGAGGTAGCTGCATTTCTTGTGAGTTGGCTTGACTTCAAGCAGAGGATAGAAGAAAGATGTTGTTATAGATGTTAAATGAGGAAGTATTTTGACTTTTCCTACGAGGCTCCAATTTTTGAACATAGAAAAAAAGAAAGATGAGTTTTAATATTAGGATGACATGAATATGTACTTTATATAGCTTAGGTAACTTTACTCGAAGTTGGAGACATCTTTTAGTTTATAGTTCTTCAAATTTTTCAGGGGGTAAATGTACATTTCTTCCCATAGCTAAGAGGTATTTGAATCTTTTGGGGCACCCACCTAGTATTCTTAGGCACATACAATCCTCCCATATCACATGCATCGAGAAATAATTGGGATTCATCCCTGTGGGAGGGCCCTAAGAGAGACTTGAATTTAGGACCTTTAGTTGTTGTAGTGGCTCTTGGCCTACTTGTATCTCCCTTGAGTTTTGCTAGGTGGACAATTGAGATGTTTAGTGATCTCTCCACTGTCAATTACAATCGGTTTTAGGATTGTTATCTTTCATTGTTGTATGATAGTTTCAAAACTTTGCACTATTTTCCAAGGGATTGTTTGTTTTAGTTTGAGCAACCCACAAAGCCCCATAAGAGTTGTACATCAAGTTGAAGTAGTGGCACTTACTGCGTTGTTGCCCTCGCTCCATTCAAGTCTTTCTTTTTCTCCAATTTTTTTGGATGGTGTTTAAACATTTATATCTCTATGCAGCATTTAAATAAGGCTATTACACCTTTTGGTTTTTTGTCCTTGAAGGTATTAGCATGCTAGCATCAGCAGAATGTGTTTATGCAAAACTTTGAAAAATTGATTTAAGGGGGTATTTGAGATGATTTAAAAAACTACTTTTTTGGACTTAGAATTTATCATAAGCACTTTAAAGGAAAAAATAGTATTTGAAATATATTGTTTCAAGTACTCTTGGCCAAGTCAAAAATGGGTTCTATCTCTTGAATAGTTGAATTAGCTCATAATTAGAAACAAAAAAGAGAAGCTTATGCCTTCTTCAAAATACTCTCTACACGAAATTGCATCCCACCACAAACACCACCACCGCCGTGAACACCATTGTTACCAAACTCACCACTCCCACCACCACAACTGCATCAACGACCATTTTCGTTGCCATTATCAACAATCACCGCCTCCACCATCGCCATGCCCCCCCCCCCCTACCACCACAACCATCACCAATCTATGCGTGTACGTGTATATATATACCCTACCACCATAACCATCACCAATCTATGTGTATATATATAGTACGCGTGAAATTTATATGCTTTTTTATTGATCATTCAAACACACTTTTCATCGGGAATTTTTTTATTCAACTTTTTTTTGATGAATATCCAAACAATACTTATTGAATGAAAATGTTTTTCTTATATGAAGTACTTTTTATTAAAATATTTTTCTTATATGAAGTACTTTTTATTAAGTACTTCTTTAAGGAGTTATTTTTAATTTCATAAGCATCTAAACGGCTTCTAGGATAGCTAAATGAAACTTGGTTGTAGGTGGTATTTACATGTTTTTTGCATCAAAATGACCTACATTGTTCTATTGCTCAATTTTTTTGGCATTGTGATGCAAGATATACTAGCTCGTCATTAGTTTTCGTGAAAACATGGTTACAAGAGAAATGCTTAGGAATTTCCTCTTTTTTTGATTGTTGTAATGAACAACTGAGAAAGTAAAAGGGAAAACAAACTCATATTAAGGTTTAAGTTTTTTCATTTTTTAAATGATTGACGTGGAGAGGAGATATGAAATTTGATGTCAGTGTAGTATCTCTGCCTGCACTATCAGCCCTTTTATTATCTCTGTCTGAACCTCTTCTACCATCCCATGCATAAAAATCAGTGAAACTTCTCCTGTACTTACCACTTGCAACTCCAGTAGTGCCACTCTACCTATCACACAACCATTGTCACAATCAGCTATAAATATCAGATGACAATTGCTGTTTTGAAATTTCTTGTGCAGAATCTAGTTTTTATTGCATGTGAATAAACCAAGAAAAGAAAAAAAATTCAAAAGCAAGGGAGAGGAAAGCATAACCATGTAGTCTGTATAAGACAACCCTTCTGCTGCTTGCAAAAGTATTTTAGAACCTACTCTCTGGGATTTTAAACAAATCTTGATCGATCATATTCAGTTCACACCGAGGTTTATTTGGGCGGTGAATGGGACAGCCACTGCAAACATAAACTATGCATTTGTATGCGTGTGTATATTATTTCTTTCTTATAATGTTTTCCTATTCTATAAAGATAATGCCTATGTTGTTTGCAACACCCAAAGCATGCCTTTGAATGCCATAATTCATGTCCTTATTACATCTTTGTCTATTTACTATTATTTTTGAAACTATTATCATTTCCAGCATCACGACAGAAAGCACTACTAAGTTAACTTCCCTATTTTACTCCCACATTTTATCACTTAAATCTCCATGCCATTGGCACGCCAATACCACCTACACCTCTAAAATTGCACCCTCCCTTTTCTGCCACCTCTGTCAACTCCACTCTGCTTGCAGCACCACCACTACAACCCCATTTATATGATTGTGCTCTGGTCTGCATGGGCTTTAGATTCATTTGTGCGGCACTGGGCCCCTAATTTGGCCTCTAAGTTTTACGTGGAGCTTGTAGATCCTAAGGTCCGGTCTACCTTATGATGCTTGATATTACCACCTCTCATGATCATTTGTAGGAGTAGTGATATCTATCATTTAAGTCTGTTAAGAGAGCTATCCCACTTATCCCACATTGAAAAATTAATATGCCTTAAGTTTGGTTTATATACTTGAGGGGCCACTCCTCCCATGGCCAATTGGTTTTTTGGTTGGATGCTCTAACAAAGTCAAATGATACAAAATTTGATACTTGTTTATATAAGCAAAAAATTCTTTTTTAAAGATTTCGCTTTTAAACCTTGGGCTGAAGGAGGGGATATAGGCATTGTATATAGATATGGCCTTAGAAATGAAATTTTATTGAACAAAATAATAAGAAAAGATATGAAAATATTTAATTTAAATGAGCGTATAGTGCATGATCAAAATGAATGACGAAGACGGACTTATATAACCGACCCCAAATGATTGATTGGAACATAATGTTTAGTTAGGAAAGTGAATGGACAATGGTTTGGTATTATGCTTTTAAAGAACTGAAAAAGTTTAATTGCCTACAATTGTTTTTTGTTGCTATATGATTTTTTTTTTTTATTGCTAGTTTTGCAGATTTCTTGGGGGCATAGCAAAAAAACTTTAGGGGCCAACTGTATTTTAGCCGTAGAATTTCAATTTTCAACACAACCAAACCTACACTCAGAAAACCTTGTTCCAACTACCTTTGGTCTGCCACAAGGCTACAATAGTCCTGTTTTGCCGTTCTTTAATTTGTCCACAGTAATAGCTAAATGAAACTAACTCTTCTTTGTCTAAGAGTATCATCTTAAGCTGGAGTCTTATAGGATAAAGTTTGAATTCTGCTTGTGAGCTGGATGCACAAGTTCTACAAATTGTAGTTTCTTGTTGCTTTAAATGTCATTTTCTCTACATTTTTTAAAGTCAATGGTTGATGACTCTGTGCATGACTTTTTTTGTCTCGTGAAGATTAAAAGATTTGGTGAGATGGCCCGCAAACTAAGGTTTTTCAGAGAACAAATGTTAAAGGCAGGTTTGTCACCTTCAGCAGGTTCTGTCACGCAAATTGATATTGATGTGGATGACCTTGAGGTATATAGATGTTCATTTTTACACTTGAATGTATTCTAATATCTCATGTTTCTAACCCTGTTTTGTTTGTGTTCTAGGTGAAACTTGGAGAACTTGAAGTTGAGCTGAATGAAATAAATTCGAACAATGAAAAGTTGCAACGTTCTTATAGTGAACTGTTAGAATATAAGCTTGTTCTGGAGAAGGTATATCTTCTTTTGCTGCTATTATTCTGTGATGATGACAGTTGTGATATTTTCACATTTCTTATTGTGGGAAGGAAAATACCCAATAATATAAGGACCTGACAAGATGCATATGTAGTCAAGAGGTAGGAAGTGGATTCAAGACAGTAGTAAGAGGTACCTTGGCAGATTAAAATAGAAAAAGAAGATATAAACCAGAGTAATGGTTCTCTAATCACTAAGTAAGTACGCAATATACTTTTAAGGTGGGATTTATTTACTCAATTTGGCAGAGGGGTGCATTTAAGCCTTAGAGGCAGACACATGATTTGCGTACTGTTGGGCGTCTGATACCATCTCATTGTCCTACTTAAGATGTTGGTAGCTGAAAATATACTTTTTAGTTAGTTTAGCTATGTCTTGCTTTGTCTTATCTTTTTGTTGACTAAATCGAATGTTGGGAATTTTATGAATAAAAGTAATATTAATTTCTCACTGTTGCCTTGTATGTCTGTTGGGCCTTGTGCATACCAAATAAGATGCTTATAGAGTTTTAAGTGCTGGCAATTTCTCAAATTCAAGTGCAGGAATACATAATTTTTTGGAATATTATTTATGAAGCATATCTAAGGACACTAGGAATCTTATATCGAGAGTTGTCTTAGTCTTTTGCTTTATGTTTTATTTGATTGTGATGACTTGATTGCCTTTTCAAGCAATGCATTTAAAATTCATAATCAGTGATGAAGATTTCCTATATGTTTCCTTTTGTTTGTGATTCTCCAATGTGCAATATATTCTTTACTCTCGCAAAAGACATGACTCACTTCATCGTAACAATATATGCTGATGTTTTCCTCAGGCTGGTGAGTTTTTTCATCTAGCCCATAGCAGTGCTACAGCTCAGCAGAGAGAATATGAATCAGGCCAGACTGGTGAAGAATCCTTGGAGACTCCGCTGTTGTCGGAGCAGGTACATGCTTTAACTGCTGTGTTTGATTCTTGTAAGTGGAGACTTTTTGTTTTTCTCTCAGAATAATTATTCAGGATGGAATGGTTGTGCAGGAAATGGCAACTGACCTATCTAAGCAAGTTAAGTTGGGGTTTATCGCTGGCCTTGTTCCGAGGCAGAAATCTATGGCGTTTGAGAGGATTATATTTCGTGCTACCAGGGGAAATGTGTTTCTGAACCAGGTTGCTGTTGAGGATGCTGTCATTGATCCTGTTTCAGGAGAGAAGGTTTGTGACAACATTTATTTTAGTTTTAGCTTCTTATAAGTTTGAGAAGATGTAGGATGATTGCTTATTATGGATTACTTATATGATGATCATACAACACTGATGACTTGTTACTCATAAGACTAGTTGATAAAATTGACTTGCCTTGCTGATGGAAAATGGGAAGGCAAACACAACTTCTACACATGTTTTCTTAGGAACTGAATTCATCCTCTCCACAATAATTGAACATGTTCATATGTCTTTGAAGATTTTTTCCCCATTCTTATGAGAACCCATTAGCTGCAAGTCGTAAGAGAAAAAAGTGATCATATGGTAAGAGTTCCTTTTATTAAAGTATCGTTTACATAATAAATTTAGGACAAAGTCAGTAGTAGTTATTTGTGTGCAAGGAAAATATATGAGGCTATCCACGATCATATCGTTGATCTTTCAAGAAAGCTGTATCACCTACGATATAAGAAAATGAGAATTACCATTAGTTTTTACTTTTTAGTTATTAATATATATATTTGAGGCATAAAAACAAAAAGACATAAAAGAAGCAGGAAAAAATTCCTAATGTTAAGTATATATGAGCTATATAAATGACAACAAAAACTTTTGTATGGATTGCTTTTTCATAATGTTTTTCTCATGGAAAGGGATTCTTTTGAAGTTTTGCGGTGTAGGTTGTACTCTTCTATATAAATTGTTGGGACTTTGAACTCATTGACAAGTTTTCTTCTCCCAGCTGAGCAACTATATAATTAAAGACTTAACTTTTGGCTATGAAATTCTTACTTAAAAAGTGAAGTGGGCAAGCATATCCATTCTTTTGTTAAATGTGCCTCTTGGAAACTGGAAAATAATAAGGATTCTGTGAATGAACAATTTCATTATTCATCCGAACTGTTTCCAAAGGTGTACACTACATATGATCGGAATATGATACAAAGAGAAACTATTCATGTTCAAGACTAGCTCCTTGTTAAAAAAATTTATGATATAGCATATCTGATAAAATACAAAGACAACAGTGTTATAAAATTGGCATCTAACCCATGCTGATGTACATTATACTCAAAGAATACCTATTAAAGTTGAATGAATAGCAGTTAAAGCGTGCATTTTATGTGAGGTAACAAAATAATGAATTGATCAAACGTGAAGGCTAGAAATAACAGGCTTATTTTGGGACTATAATTCAAAAAGGCTCACTACAACATATGAACAAGATGAATTACTATATGGGGTGTACACAAGCAAAGCTTTTCAACCATGCACGACCATAAATGTTTTCATTGTACTACACATAAAGCATAAAAAATTTGGAGTGTATATAACAAGAACAAACCAATTTGAAATATAAAAAGAATGATTCTTGACTTGGGAGACACGTGAGTAGAGAAATGAATGTGGAGTAGGAATAAAGAAACATGATTCATGTAACTGACGATAAATAGTTGGGATGAAGCTTTGTTGAGTTGAGTCGAATTTCTATTTTGGTATCTATTGAATATGTCTATTCTGATATTTTTCTTTTAGTTTTTTTATTGAGGCTTATGGAATTGCAAAAGGGTTCATAAGCAGGTTGATTCTTGTTAGATTAATCAAATGTGGGCGTCAATTTAAATGGAGATTGACTGGCTACGGCCTATTTAGTGAATGGGTTACGCGAGCTGTCTCGTGTAACTCGTGGAATTGACAGGTCATTTTAGGATTTGGGTGTTTGACACAATTAATTAATCGAGTCGTTTTCAGATTGACCCATACAAAAACTCCCTAAGATCAACAAGATTACCAGCACTAATCGTTCTTGTGTTTTTGGTTTTAATCTATAATTTTTTTTTTCTTACAATGCTTGAACTTCCATTTTGATTTGTGACTATCGTTTTACAGGTTGAGAAAAATGTGTTTGTGATCTTCTTTTCTGGAGATAGAGCAAAGAACAAAATTCTTAAAATATGTGAAGCATTTGGAGCAAATCGCTACCCTTTCCCAGAGGACCTGAGCAAACTATCTCAAGTGATCACAGAGGTATGCAGCATATCTTTGCTTTGATTCTTTGTTGTTCCTCTGCGAGAAGGTTGAAGTACTTTCGTCAGTCTCCTATTTTCTGTTGTGGCTTTGTTTGATCTTGATTCTCGATGGTCATGTCTTTCTCATACACACATGGCAGTTGAATTTCTTTTTGTTTAATAATGGTAATTTCTTGAAACTATCTCAATGGAAATTTCTTGTGTGGGATGTAGATATTGAAGAGAATGCTTCTTTGAGCCAATATTACTCTCCCTTGAGGGGCTTTCCCTGGTTGGTTGAGATTTTTTAAGTTAACAACGTTGATATTGATGAAATTTGGAAACAAAATGAAAAGTGAAACATCCAAGTGGCACTGAATGGGTGAGAAGGTCTTATGTTAGTCTGGATTTATAGTCAAGTTACAGGCAAACTTGTCAGTGTTATTCCATTCAGGAAAATGCTTGCATTTATACTTGGGGGCTCACTTGCTTACATGAGTGAGATGGTTTCCTTTCACCATTTATCTCACGAGAAGTCATAGCATTGGGTTCCAAGCTAGTTAACCAAGAAAAGTACTGTGGGGCCTCTAGTAATCTAGTCTCTCTAATCTGGTGCTTTTGTGTTTAGGACTTAGAAGAAAGTTCCTTTATCATTTCCTATTGCTCACACTTGCCTGATGTATTTATCTGTGGAAGATTGATACAAAATTTCACTGGAAGAGAGGAATTCCAAGTGAACATTGTGTTTCCAATTAGCAGTGTCATGCACAGACAAGCTAGCTATATGCGTACATTAAAATTTGTCCCTTTTCTCCACTTGTATCTATTTTTTTTTTTTTTCTATCTTTATGCTATATGTGGGTGTAGGAAGGCTTTGTTGTTAGGTCCCTAAATTTGTTGGTGTAGTTTAAGTTTTGATCCATTTCTACCTTTTTCTCATCAAAGCAGTTGAATGATCATTGGCTTGCTGTTTGCATTTTGCATTTCTTCGGATATAACATCAGTGTTTTAACTTCTGGAGATCATTGTTTTACAGTTGTATTCGTGTTAACTCCCTCCTCTGAATTTGTGTGCTTATTCCTGTAGTCTATATGACTTTTCAGGTCTCTGCAAGACTCTCAGAACTAAAGACTACAATAGATGCTGGGCTGCTGCAACGTCACCATTTGTTACAAACTATTAGTGAACACTACGAGCGGTGGAACATTTTGGTCTGTTAGAAATAATTCTATTAGATAAACCAGCATTTTTACTGATCTGGCATGCATGTGATATTATGTGATTCTATATAACATCTGTTCATAAAAACCAAGTCAGAAATTGGTGTGTGCTATGCTGAAAATATTTGTTGTCATTAAACCATATTTCTTTGCATCATACAGGTGAGGAGAGAGAAAGCCATTTACCACACCCTAAATATGCTTAGCATTGATGTAACGAAGAAGTGCCTGGTGGCAGAGGGGTGGAGCCCTATTTTTGCAACAAAACAGGTATGAGTTTTCACTAACTATATATTACTTGGATACTTAAATTATTAACAAAAAAAGAAGGAAAACCACTGAAAAGCTTAGGAAATAAAGGATGGGAGAAGAAACCAAGTAAATCCCAAGAAGGATGGGACATATGTTACTTTGTAACATGTGGATCAAAAAACTTCATATTAGTGAGAAGATAAGAACCACGGACACGGGACACAGATACGGCACGACATAGACACGTAGACATGACATTTCTCATAAAAAGTAGCACACGGACATGTTGGGGATACGATATAGATAATTGTGTTTTCTATATAAAACTATGTAATTTATGGAAAATATAGTGATAGATTGATAGTGATACATTATTTATAAAAAAACTTGGCACTTTCTAATAAGTAAATTTTATGTCTTGTTATCTAGTGTAAATCTTCGGACCAAAGCATCATAATAGTTAATAATCATTAATTTTTTTCTAGAAAATTTGGACTCAACATATATAATTTAAATGATTGATCGTATTTTCTCAATTCCTCTTTTTTAAAATTTTTATGTATCATTTGTTTTTATTATTATATTTTGAGTGCAACTTTAACATGTTTAGTCTTGGTAATTATATGTTTTCTTATAGTATAAGATATTTATTTGTCAAATTTTAAGTTTTATTAATTACATATTTATTATTTAGTAGTAAACATGGTTCAAAGAAGTGTTGGACCTGTGTCTAAAATTAAAATTTTATCATTTAATTATGGCCACAGATAAAAGAGTATTGAACACATGTTCGAGGAGTGTTGGTGTCTAACACAGATACGTCGTCTTTTTGAGAGTGTCTAGTTTTCATAGGCGACGAGTAATGTATTAAGTTTCTTATGAAGGGTAATGTATTAAGTTGCTTGCTAAGCATGTGGATTTTATTTATGCAGATTCAGGATGCATTGGAACGAGCAACTTATGTCTCCAACTCGCAAGTTGGTGCCATTTTCCAAGTTTTGCATACGAAAGAATTACCTCCTACTTATTTTCAGACAAACAAGTTTACTTCTTCTTTTCAAGAGATTGTTGATGCCTATGGGTGAGTTTTACTTCAAATCATTTTTAGGATTGAGGACTACTACTTCTTTTAATGTACAACAATGTGGGTCATCATATGCTAAGGCGCAGGTGCATGTGCATGCGGAATAGTAGATTGTGAATTGGAAAGTTTTATACTTTGGTATTTGTTATGTTTGATAAATTGGGAATTTGAAGAACTCAAAGAGAAGAGGCAGAGAAGTTAGAATCATACCCTACCTCTCACTCTTAATTTGTATTTATAGTTACCTAAGAAAACATAAAAGAATAGTATACCCTTAGAGAGGTATACTTATTACAACTATATAAAATAATATCAATATAATAATAATACTCTCAACACTCCCCCTCAAGTTGGAGTATATATATTATATAATCAAAACTTAGAACAAATGACTATAAGACGAGGTCGACTCAATGCTTTGGTGAACATATTTTCAAGCTGATCCTCAGATTTCACAAATGGTGTTGTAATATTTCAATTTAGTATCTTGTCTCGAATAAAGTGACAATCAATTTCAATATGGTTGGTCCTCTCATGAAATACGGAATTGACAATAATATGAAGAGCTGCTAGATAATCGCAGAACAACTGTAAGGGAAATTGAATTGAAAAACCAATTTCCCTAAAAAAAGTGTAGTAAGCATGTTAACTCACCAGTGGTATGTGTCACCGCTCTTTACTCTGTCTCTGCACTGGACTGTGTTACCAATGCGTGTTTCTTACTTTTCCATGTAACCACATTACATTCAATGACTCCGTCCTACAACTTGCAATCCAACGTACTGAAATCGCAAAAAAAAAAATTACTACTCAATCAAACCAACAATAACTATTTCTACAAAACAGGGATTAAATGAAAGAAGAGGAAAATGAAAACAGGGGGAAAAAAAAGAAAGAAGGAAGAGACAGATGAGATCAAATTTGCGATTCAAAAGAGAAATCAGAGGTGGATTTTAGATCAAATTTGCTTTGATACCATGTTAATTTTGGTAAATAGGGAATTGGAAGAACACGAAGAGAGGTGGCAGAAATGTTAGAATCATACCCTACCTCTCACTCTCCGCATGTGTTTTTAGTTACCCAAGAAAATGCAAAAGACTAGTATACCTTTAGAGACGTATACTTATTACAATCATATAAAATAATAACAATATAATAATAATAATACTTGGGATTACCGTGGTTCTCAATTTGTCCAAACAGAATTTAATAAGCTCAGCGGGAAGGACAACAGCTCGGGATGAGGGTAATGGAGAAGTATAGTTTTCGCAAAATTTGTTGTGTTAAATGTATATAGGGGGAGGGGTCCTCCTTAAAACTAGCTTCCAGTTGAGCAAAAGTATTTTGGCAGATCTTGCAGTAAATAAATGTAGGGCAGGAGATCTCCTTAAAACTAGATTCCCAAAAAGCAAAAATAGTTTGATTGAGGTAAATTAGTAACCCAATAATCTTATAAGTTTGACAGCTGTCCTAGAATGATAATATTAAGTCCTTAATTTTTTGTCGGCCAAGACTTGAATATAATGTCATGCAAAATGTACAGACATGGTGAGAAGGACAAAGTAGGTGAACTATGTGAGAACAGGTTACTGATTTCATATACCACTGATGAGATTAAAAGCTTTAAAGATTTCATAAAAAGTTTTGGACAATTTATGCTTTTTTCGTTTTCTTTTTGTGTTTTTTTATAATTTTTTTTTTTGGGTGTGTGGGTGTTGACTTATGTGCATCAAGGTCAATCTTAGAGGAGATGTTAATCTCCTGAAGATATTTTCGAACTTGTGCTTTAGTTTGTTAGCTTAGTAGTTCTCTAAAGTTGAGATGGCATTGGGCATTGACTGACTAGAAGCTCTTGTTTAATTCATCTAACTATAATGAAGTGTGCATCATTGTCACAGATGACATGGTGAAAAAAATAAAATAAAACAAAATGTGAGTCCCTACTCCCCCATGTGTTATCCTTATATTTAATAAATAAGAGTATGCTGATTTTATGAATGAAAATCCTTTGATTGAAATGTTCTCCAATAAAGTTCTTTAGGTTCAAGTTTGACTTCTGGAAGAATGTTGGTGACTTAGGTGACGCAAAATGGTTTGTGTAAGCTTATGCGTATCAGAGTTTGTGTTGTAGCCACAAGGCTGGATGGCGCGTGGTTGGGATAGTTCTCCCGTAGTTTCTTTTAGTGACAATGATTTGCAAGTTTTACTAGTTGTCTGCTCTATTGAAATTTATTTGTTACTTTTTGCCATACATTTTGGGGCTGCCACCCAAAGTCATAGAAATCCTCCTGCTAATATTTTTTTTATTGTCTAATTTCAGGGTAGCCAGGTATCAAGAAGCAAATCCTGCTGTCTTCACTATTATCACATTTCCATTTCTTTTTGCAGTCATGTTTGGTGACTGGGGGCATGGTATCTGCCTGCTACTTGCAACATTGTATTTTTTAGTCAGGGAAAAGAAACTATCCAGTCAGGTAATCACCTTTTTGTTTGGTTGACCTCACTATGTATAGGCACAACTCGAACTCATGTTCATATTATTGCCTCTCATCTCTTTCACGATTCTTATGCTACTCTCCACATTATATATCAGACATTAAATGCTCCTTTCCCTTTTTTAGTATGATTAAGGTTGATCAATTTTCTTTCTCGTGTTATTATCTAGTATTTTTCTTAGCACCAAAACTGAAAAACAATACCCAGTTTAATCCTCATGGTCTATTGTACAGTATTCTGATTTGATTTGAATGGGAAAAAGGTGGTGATTTCTGGAAATCCAAAGAGTTTGATTGTTTTATAATGTTAGAGGGATATACTGTAGGGTTGTATGTAGGTAGGTACAAGGCAGCATATCTAAATTCCCTATCTGTATGTGGGTTGTTGATAAAGGGCTTTCATTGGTCATTTGTCTCCTACAGTCTTCTCTCGTTATAGAGAGAGAGAGAGAGAGAGAGAGAGAGAGAGAGTCTGGAAGCTTATACAGAGACATCTAGATATAGAGATTTGGGGATATATTTATTGAAGGAGAAAGAAATGTGGGTTTTTTAGAGAGGGAGTGAGAAAAATTGATTTTTTAGAGAAAATAAGTAGAGAGAAATGGGTTGAGAGAGAGAGAGAGAGAGGGAGAGGGAGAGAGAAGTTCATCAGTTGCCCTTCTCCCATGTCAAATGATGCACTCGTGTTCTTTTCTGTTGACTACTTTGGCAGAATTGGGCGAAAGATTTACATTGTCTGAAATTAAAAAGTTTGAGGGCTAAATTGACATAAGATAAAGTTTGAAGGCTTAATTGAAACTAAGAACAAAGTTTAATGGCCAACTATGTATTTTTTTCCTATTAATAGTAGTATTGTTTATTTCATGCATGTGGTAGGTAAATGGTGAAGTGATAGGATAAGAAAGAAATCATCTGCTTCTGTTGTCACTCCCACTAGTCAAGGGAAGATGATTCATGACCATTGTAGTTCATAGAAAGTTTCTTTTTGTGTGGGTTCAATGAAGTCAAGCTAATGAAGGTAGATAATCTCTATATATTTCCCTTCCAGACAGAATTTGTCATCTACTTTCAAAATTCCCTTATTTGTTTATTATTTTCTGCCACTCTGCAGTCTTCTTAATGTTTTTTTATTTAATGGTTGAGGCCTGAATAAATCACAATTCTGGCTAATGCAGAAACTTGGAGACATCATGGAGATGACCTTTGGCGGTCGATATGTAATTTTGATGATGTCACTCTTCTCAATCTACACAGGTTTTATCTATAATGAATTCTTCTCAGTTCCATTCGAATTATTTGCTCCCTCAGCCTATGCGTGCCGTGATCTTTCTTGCAGGTATTTAATCATTATATTATTAACCACATGCTTTGTGTTTTATCCATTAAATGTTCTCCCTGTATATGTAAACTGCTTTGTTGCAGTGAAGCTACTACTATAGGCTTGATCAAGGTGCGTGACACTTACCCATTCGGCGTAGATCCTGAATGGTATGGTTCCCGCAGCGAGTTGCCATTTCTTAACTCGCTGAAGATGAAAATGTCCATCCTTATTGGTGTAGCTCAAATGAATCTTGGAATAATTATGAGCTATTTCAATGCCAAATACTTTCGAAATAGCGTGAATATCTGGTGAGTTTTTAATGCTAGTATGGTTCCTTGCTTGAATGGCAACAGCTATAAGAAGCTATATTAAGCTTTCTCGAAAGCTAGCATTGTATAAGTAGATGTCCATGTGTGTGCATTGTGACTAAATATAAGTATATAGTCTATTGTTTAATCAGTAATTTCCAGCCAAGCAAAAAAAAAAAAGTAATTTCCAGTAACCTAATCGTCTTCAGTATTAATAATTTTTTGAAGAATGAACTTTGTCTCAGTTGGATAATTAGTAATATATTAGTTAAAGATCAACAATTTTTTCAAAAAAATCCCTCATATACTATCAATAAAGAGTGGAAAATTATTGGTGCATGTTTCTTGTGACTTAGTTGAGTTATATATGGCTTTTGGCTGAAGAGGTCCATCACTTCCCCTTTTTTTTTTTTTTTTTTGTTTTATAGTGGAAATATCACAATTGTTTGCAATTTTTTTACTAATGAAAATTGTAGAGGATTTCATGTTGAATACTTAAGTTACACCCTTTTTATCAGCGTAAACTTTTAGAGTATATGATGATTTAACATGATATCAGAGTAGGAGGTCTAGTGTTCAAATCTCAGCCAACTTAAGCATTTAGAGTAGATGGTGATTTAATACTTTATAACTCTAATTAATAACTTAAAGGTTTCAACACTTTATTAATCATCAGTGTTGATTGTATCTTTGTGAGTATATGCATTTATGATGATGCTCATAATGCGGCATCTCCGCATCTTGTGTTTGCAAATGCTAGTGTAATTAAGATGATTCTTTCTTTGTATCCACCTATCCGTCAACTGACTTCATAAAGTTTTCATTCTATTTCAGGTTCCAATTTATTCCTCAAATGATATTTTTAAATGGTCTGTTTGGCTACCTTTCCCTCCTTATCATTGTAAAGTGGTGCACTGGTTCACAAGCTGATCTATACCACGTAATGATATACATGTTCCTCAGTCCTACTGATGACCTAGGTGAAAATCAGCTTTTTGCTGGCCAGAAGACAGCTCAGGTTGAACCTTTCTTCTAGGCTTGATATTTTCTCTTACTATTTGCTTCCGTGTTTGAATGAATTTTTTCATGCACATAAGATCTGTTAACTCCACTGAACTCATTTAACGTGCATTTTATGTGTTTCTTGTCAGCTTGTGCTATTACTGCTAGCCCTTGTTGCTGTCCCATGGATGCTGCTCCCAAGGCCTTTTATTTTGAAGGCACAGCATACCAATGTAAACATATTGTTTTCCTTCTTATCTTTCTGAATTTGGGCTTAATTTTGTTAAACACCATTTTCTTCTTCTTCTTCTTTTTTCTGATACATCAACTGTCATGCTTCTTCAGAGGCACCGGGGTCAGTCCTATACATCCCTTCAGGGCACAGAAGGCTCTTTGCAGTTGGAGGCGAATCATGATTCTCATGATCACGAGGAGTTTGAGTTTAGTGAAGTTTTTGTACATCAACTCATACATACCATAGAATTTGTGCTTGGGGCAGTCTCAAATACTGCTTCATACCTTCGTTTGTGGGCCCTCAGGTATGCTGGTAGAAATTTGAATTTTGTCTTGACACCAGATTTATGGTTGTTGCATACTAGAATTTCTTATAGAAGTAGATATGAATTGATGAAACAGTTAACTGTCAGTATATTTGCAATGAAAATGAAATGCTGAGAATTTGAAGTCATTTTTTATCGAAATTCACCTGTCTATGCATAGTGGTGTAGGTTTATTTTTCTATGTTTATGTTATTGACATTTTTATGATAGTTTTTTGGAAGATAGCTCTTCTATGCCTGTGGCATGTAATCTTGATGTTATTACTTACAACTTAGGTATTGATTCCTTGGCATCAGTGTTTTACACAGGAGGCTAGAAGAATATTTTATATTCACTCAATTTCTGTCCCTCTATGTGATACTTATCCTAAGTATTCCTGTTTGTCTTCATTTTTGGTAGAGTCACCGGTCATCCTATACATCTCGTGAATGGATTCTAATCATGTAATCTTCTTCGTTTGCTTTGTTCAGCCTTGCCCACTCCGAGTTGTCAACTGTATTCTATGAGAAGGTTCTTCTTCTTGCTTGGGGGTAAGTCAATACCTTTTATTCTAGTCAAAGGCCTTGACTCTCAAGTATTGGCTTATATTAGGTTGTGTCCAGTTCTCTGTCATTCAGCTCCCTGGATGTGTAGAATGGGCTGTGAATATCAACAGTATGCCTTACTGGGCTATTCTACACATTTCCCCCAGAAAAAGTTATTTGCATTTGACTCTCTTTTCCGATGGCAATTCTGCAGCTCCTCGGATATTCTGCATTTGGGGAGTTGGGATGCAGAGGGTATTGTACTGCAGTTCCACCTTTGCAGATGCATACATGTAAGAGATTTAACACATTTTGACTTTGCATGTGTTACAGGTACAACAATGTACTTATCCTTATTGTTGGCATCATTGTGTTCGTCTTTGCAACTGTTGGTGTGTTGCTAGTGATGGAAACACTTAGTGCTTTTCTGCACGCATTACGACTTCATTGGGTGGAGTTCCAAAACAAGTTTTATGAGGGTGATGGGTACAAGTTCTCTCCATTCACATTCACCGTAGTTGGGGATGATGAGGAATGATATGTTGAATAAAAGTTCAATTGTTGGGAAAAAGTTGATTGTGCATAGGTGCGGGATCTATTTGATTTTTCCATTTGGATGAGGATGCATTGAGATATGGCGATGGAACTGTACCTTCGAGGCGTGGTGGATGAAGCTTTTGCATTGTGTACCTGTGCCCTGCCCCTTCTTATCCCAGTTGGCAATCTATTTCATATTTTAAGGAATAAGCAGCCCCATAGCAAGGCCTGCAGGTATGTATATAATTGAAGTGACAACCATGTGCCATGGTTAGACTGTATGATAAGTTGTAGTTAATTGGATTGTTCATTTAATTTCAATCGTGGACTAGCTACGATTTGTTGTAGTGTTATGGGTATGTGTACTGGGATGACAGTCTTCATTAGAAAACTATTCGTTTGATGTTATGATTTGAAGAGAATTTTTTGTGACCCTTGTCCACCATGGCTAAGCACAGTAAAGAGACTATTTTCAAGTATTTTTACCCCTGCGGATTTAATGTTCATTGCAACTGTGGTGCTACGTTGACTGTGATTTCACTGGCTAATCTAATTCCGAACATATGCATATGCACACGTGGTGGTTATTATCTTATACTGAATGTGATAGTTATTGTATTATGGGAAGGTTCATCTAGAATGTGTTTCATTATTGAGTAGCAATACATGTTGGTGCCGCCCTCTTTTTGATCGTCCCAACGCACACAGCCTATTTATGCTTTGTTAAAATTAGTCTTACTGTATGCCTCGAGTAATTCACCATATATAATGCTGTAATTATGACAGAATTAGTTGAACCTTATCTCACTTCCATAACTAGTGATACCTTCTTCATTTGTGAGCATTTAGAATCTTTATTTAGATCATAGCAATTAGATTAGAGCGAAAGAGAATGGGAAACTCTCCCCGTTTCCTTATTTCTCACATTTTTAAATTGTTTAAAAGAAAAGGCTTGGGTTTCTTCTAATTCCATTGTCTCAATGTGGCCTAAATGCGTACTCACAATCCCATCACTTTTTTATTTACTCTAAATTTAAAATCAATTGAACACTTCTACTTTTGCTAATTCTCGGTTAATTTTTTTTTTTCATACACACAAATTCAGCACAATAATGGAACATTTTTCGGCGATGCTTAGGTGGGAGTAAAACTTGAAATGAAGAAGATATTTGTAAAATTCGCACATCTCACAAAATCACCCCACCACCCCCTCAAAATCATATAATCAGTACTATTATAGTATGTCTAAAATATAAGATATGTAAACTGACAGATCGGAGATTTACACAGCTAAAGAAGATTGATAATTATTCATAGCATCAAAGGCGAAGACAATCTTATACCACGACAACAAAGATAAAGGAAGGAACTTGGCAATAGATGCAGATTACAACGTTAATTAATATGTTTCTTGATCTTGGGAATACTTGGGAGGAATGCTATAACTAATTTAGAGAAAGTTGCTTCTTCCTTATATATACATAGAAATACATAAATTGATGCACATATATCATCATTCATATGGCTAATGTGAGGTGGTAACAGCAGCAACGGTGGAGACCATAGAGTCCACGCCACAGATATTACGACCCCTACAGATTTTGTAGAATCCATTCTCACCCCAGTTTTCTCCCCAAGAGTTCTTTATGATCCAATATGGCTTCTCCTTCATTCTAATAGGAGAATAGCCAGCTGAACCGTACCCGACCAATAACACACCATGGTCCAACCTCTTCGAGCATATGTATGGGCATGAAACTCCCCCGACATATGTCTGCATGAAAACTGCATTGATCGCCACTGCATCCACAAGAAAAGAAACATAACATAAAGATTACTATTGAACAAACACCACTGTAAATTACGATTCCAGTAAAGACAATAGATGTTACACAAACACGATTTTGTCAAAAAAATAATGCATTTTTCAATAAGAATTAAGAAAAAGAAAGAAATATAAGGAAAGGAACTAGACTTTTTTTTTTTGCTCTTTTTTGGGGGTTGGAGGGAGGGGGAGGGGTGGAATTTTCGACTATCAAAACTGTAAACATGCAAAAAAGACGGCATGATTTTCATAATGTAAATTCTATTAAGCACATTCTGCATAGTTGAGAGCTATTCTCCAAGAACATATTACTATTTTTTTTTTCCTGGAATGCTTGGATAAACTCAAGAAATTCCTTCAATTAAAATAACAAAAGCAACAGGGGGTGGGTTTGAGAAGCAGAGAGAGAACTGCATACCTGCAAGCGGACCATTTTTCACAAGATTTGCAGCAATTTGGTCTTCATTAAGGGAGACAACACTGAAGTTAGCCACTTTGGCAGCGATCTTGGTCTTGTCAAATTTGCAGGTTCCACCATCAGTACCGGTGTAAACATAATCTTCTTCTCGCATGAGTCCACCAGCTTTAAGAGTGTACTCAAAGGCACTATTCATCAGCCCACCATTGCACCCCGAGTCACAAGCACCTGCTTCCTCTGGATCACACTGCAGAGCATGCAAGCTACTTTAAAACAATGATAAATAAATATTTTCAAGCAGGCTTTTTCTGCCCCAAATGGCATAGACATGCAAGGCCTTTTGTTCGTCATCAAAACAAGCATGTGTACTCTTAAATGTTTATATGCAACTCAAAAAGGACCTACCATTTTGATCTTCCAAAACATATTAAGCACATAGCAACATTATAAGACACATGAAATCATTCACTGTTCGGGAAAGCATGCTAGAGTTAGCATTAGGCCAGCTGTGTCACAACAGAATGTTCAGTGCTTAGTGATAATGCAAGCCAATAAATGATTTCAGTCTCGGGAGTATAGTTGTTGACAACTTACAATATACAATATTAGAGGTTTCAATATAGGAGTAAAATGATATGTTTTGTCTAAGTATAATGTTTTACAACATATCATACATGTTACATATCATATGATACTATTCAAGACACAATACACCTTATAGATTCAAAAAGGAGAAAGCAACAAAACGAGGATGAAAGATAAAGGTCCTATATAATTTGTATATGTGTTTTTCAAAATACTATTCAATACTCATTTCATTCCGACATGCATCTTATAGATTCAAAAAAATAGAAAGTGGCAAAAAGAGTAAGAAAAATAAACATCCTATATAATTTGCATATTTTTTTAGTTGTTGACTGATTCAATCATTTTATTATTTTATATAATGGGACTAGAAATATTTTGTCAAATAAGAAAACTAAGTGTAAATAAGTAATTGAAAAAATAAAAAAAATACATACAAAAGATTCAAAAAGACAGAGCAAGTAAAGACTTGTTGGCATTCGATAACGACGATATTTATGCCATTGAAATTGAAGATCAAGATGAAAATATAATCCATAGAACTATAAGAATGGATTGTTTTGGATTTTGCTAATCTTTAAATTTTCATATCCATAAATTATGTTGCAAACTTGAATTATTAAATTTCATTCTTTGAAACCTGTAGTCTTTTTTGATCTTGTATAGAAATCAAGTTAAGATATTATTATTAATCTATATGTGTGTGTATTTAAAAAAATTATGTTTATCTTCCGTTGTGTTATGTGACACTATTTTAAGGAAACGATATGCACTACGATACACATTTTGAGTACTTTGATTAGGAGTACTGAAAGCTAAGGTGATGAATGTGAATCAAGAGAAAGGAAACTGCCAAAATCTTTTTGTACAAAAGAGGTAATACGTTTTGGTGCACATATTTGAGACAAGGATTATTAACTTATGAAACATTCCTGGTAGCTGATACAATTCCATCATAAAGAGCTGTTTTGCCACACAACATTAAATTTTTTGTTTGTATGGAGCACTGTCCCAACAATGCACCATTAAGGCCTTTTAATACAACAACAAACTCTAAACACACGTAATGTGTTGTAAAGCACGCACATCAGGTAGCTTACGGTTCTCACATAAAAGTTGAATGTGGCACTTGAAATATTAACCCCTGAAGTATTTCCATCCTAGCTATCAGGTAGTGACAAAACCTTACTTGAACAACCAAATAACCATAAAAAGCAAAGGGTATAAAGTTAACCGAAGAAAGTCATTTACAGCAAGCATACAATGAATCGCATGCTAGTAACATATCAACCCTTTCAATAAATGTGTACATGCATATATGTAGATGTATGCACATACCAATTAATTAAAGAAATTTGCTTAATGAAACAACCATATCAATGAAATATAGTACACATCAAGAGACAAACAGGCACAATACACCAAAAAGATCAAACAAAATGCAATCAAGTAACACAACATGCCATCAATAGCTAGACAAACTTATGTTCCAAGGCACATGCGCACAAAAACCACAAAATACAACACATACTGATCATTCATACAATTCAACCAGAGCATGTACCAAGAAACAATTAGAGGAAGACAAACCTCGTGGTCACAATCCACCAGCTGTTGCTCGCTAAGGCTAACCAGCTTCCCTGTAGCGAGATAATTCGCACCTTCCAATGCCCCTGTCGTACTAAACGACCAGCACGACCCACACGAACCCTAATTTGCCAATCAATCAACTAAATTAAACACATATATCCAAAGTCAACCCCTCAGAACCCTTAATCCCCATATTATCAGAATAAATAACAAGCAAGTCCATTATACACATAAATTAATAGTGAGACCTGATTCTTTACGGGCGTGACGGCACCATGGTCTCTCCAATCGAAATCCTCGGGAAGATCACTCGTCGGAAGGATCGGAGCCTGGTTCGCATCCTTCGGAATCTTCAGCTTACGCTTCAATCCGAGGAAATTCCGGCGAAACTCAGCCGGAGTTAGATCGGAGAACTGAGTCACCCCGTGGACCGCCGATGGATCAAGCTTCTGGAGGCGCTTCGCGCGGCGCAGGTTAGCATTGAAGACCGAAAACCTGTAATCGTGCTCCTCCTTTGTAGCATAGCTTTTGCCAAACCTCCTCTTGAAGATCGAAAAATGATGATCGGCGTTCAATAGATGATCGTCGCCGACTACTTGCCGGATTAAGAGATCTTCGGTGGTGTTCACCTCGTCGTCGGCGAACGCGAACGACGTCGCGAGAAGGAGAGAGAAAACGAAGAGGAGACCTAATCGTAGAGCCATGGTGTTTGAGGTACCCCTTTCTTTCTCGTGAGATGTGTGTATATATAGATATAAAGGGCTGTATGTATCCATCTATCTATATCCACCAGTCTAATTGGAGAGGTTGCTTAAGTGGTGGAGTCACGCAAGAGCCAATGTTATGAAGACAGGTGTCGGTTCTTTATTGGTTGGAAGAATGGTAGTTGCTTGTAGGGTCGGTTTGGGTGGTTGTTAATATTAGATCACTATTTTGTCTAGTTGTGGTAAAATAAGGAATCTACCTCGACTATACCCCTCGTTTGATATAAATATTACGAGCGAATTAAATAATAGATCATACTAATTTTTATTTAATTAGGTCNTTTTGTCTAGTTGTGGTAAAATAAGGAATCTACCTCGACTATACCCCTCGTTTGATAGAAATATTACGAGCGAATTAAATAATAGATTATACTAATTTTTATTTAATTAGGTTTAATATTTTATTTGATAAACAAATTTAATATCCTATTAATTTCAAAAGTGTATACTTATCGCATATTTTTTATACGATAAACTTGTATTATGAAAGTTTTTTAATACCACTAAAAGATGTGGTATTATATTTCAACTTAAACGTATTATTTTACACATTTACTATTATAACCCTCAAGTGATAAATTTAAGTTGTCATCAATGTAACAAACATNAATTTCAAAAGTGTATACTTATCGCATATTTTTTATACGATAAACTTGTATTATGAAGGTTTTTTAATACCATTAAAAGATGTGGTATTATATTTCAACTTAAACATATTATTTTACACATTTACTATTATAACCCTCAAGTGATAAATTCAAGTTGTCATCAATGTAACAAACACTGATTGAGAATATTTTTGTTAATTCAATATTAATATGTTAAAATTATTCTCTAACCAAACAACCGATTGGATTAAATAACTACTATTCCACGCTTATATTGTGTATTGTCAAATATTAGATAAAATTACGTATTATTTTAATACCATATTTAATCTTGTCTTTAATTCATCTGTATTATATTAGACTGTATTACTTTATTTAATCTATCCATTTTTAATACGGCAACCAAACGAGCCCATAAAGTATTAAAATTGATGAGAATTTAAAGGTTGAAGAATGTCAATTTTATTAGTTTGGTCTTTGTTTTATTAATTTAGTTTTAATTTATGTTATTTTTATATTAATTAGATAATTTTGAATCAGTATTTTAAGTTTATGTAAAATTACTCTTCCGAATAACTTGAGCCAAGCTTAAACTACACTAAAATTAGAAAAATCCATGGAATCGAGTTTGATCTATACAAAAAAAATTACGAATAATCAAATTAAGTTATAACTCAAACATGTCAAAATTATAACCGAATCAAGTTTATTTTTTTGGGGGCGATTCTAAAAAAAGTTAAGAGTGACAATCATGTATCATGCCATATTTGTGGTTAAATTCATGTTAATTACTAGTGAATCTTAACTTGACGTGTTAATTTAATTGGATTGAATGTCCAAACATTAGCCCAATTTGTATAATAATCTTGTCGTGTTCTACGGATAACCAATCGTATTAACGGGTAATACTTTTTGAAGAGCAATGCTACATGGACTTAAAAAGTAGACTTGATAATTTTAATCATTGATTTCACTGTGGGTCCCAATATTTATTGGGACCTACTACCTATTCAATGATTAAAATTATCAAGTATAATTTTTAAATCTATCTAACATTACTCGTTTGTGTCAAAAATTAATCACCCTTACCCCGCCAAATTTTATAGTCAGATTCATTTCATGTAACATGTCGTGTTCAAAGTTATAAGCCAACCAAAAGTGATGGAATCGTTTGTAAAGATGTAGGATCGATTTTAACATTTTAAAATCAATTCTCATCTACTCCTTGAATTGTGACTTGGCCTTTTTAAATCACAATTTGATTTAATTTAGTCATAATTTTCGATATTATACCAAAAAACATATTTTCAGTAGGGTACAAAAATCCCTAATAAATTTGTATATTCGTTTTGTCGCTAGGTCCACCTTTCCAGTAGTTGGGGATTTTGATGGGATTTTTAGGTGATCCGAATCCAATTAAAACGATTCTACCGGACCCAATATGATTATTTGATTAATTTTATTTTTATAGTTCATATAAGATTCCGCTTAGATTTGGATATCCGATTCAATCCAAATAACCACAGTAAGTTGTATTTCAACAAATTACATCTAAAGTTCAATACGACTTTATTAAATAATCACTAAATTTTAATCATAAATTTATACATATCTAACATATAATTCGGATCGGATTGGATATTACTAATATATCCAAATTCGAATCTATTAAATATACTATAACAAATTTAGATTCGAATTTGATTTTAGATTATCGGTACAACAAATTAATCCATATGCACTTAGGATTAGCGCGTGTTCAGAATCGTCAATAATTTTTTAACGAATATCTGAATTAGACCACGTAGATATAAATTAAAAACCTTAAAAATCAAATAGAAACAACTGAAAGATTGCAGATCAAATAGACATCAAATCCTAGTACGGGACTTGTACTAGGATTTGATATAAGACCTATATTAGGATTATGTTATTGTGATTGACCAGAATTAAAAGTTTTCGACTAATCTCTTTATAAATAACTTATGATAGGCCCTATTGCCATGGCAACGGTAGATGGGCACAAAACATACGAATTGAGCTACGCAAGAGAATGGGGAATTCAGTAGAAAAACCATTCACCTGCGAGATATGCTTGGAACCCATGTTGTTACCCAGCAAGAAATTCAAGAACAAAGACAGGTGCGACCACCCATATTGCTCAGATTGCATGATCAAGTTCATCCAATTGAAGATCTCTGAAAACGTAGCCAAAATCAAATGCCCAGCTTTGGATTGTGATGCCTTGTTAGATCCTCTCTATTGTAGACCCATCATGACCCAGCAACTGTTTGATAAATGGTGTGACTTGATTTTTGAAGATAAGATTTTAGGGCTTGAACACTGTTATTGTCCCAATACAAATTGCTCGGCGTTGATTGTGAACGAGTGCGGTGGAATCGTGAAGAAATCGCAGTGTCCGAATTGCAAAGGGGTGTTTTGCTTCGAGTGCAAGCTTCGTTGGCACGAGGGGTTTGAGTGCAAGTTCAGAGATAGGAATGATATTGCTTTTGGTGTTCTTGTGGAAAGGGAGAACTGGAAGAGGTGTCCCCAGTGCCATCACTTTGTGGAGCGCAGTGGAGGTTGCAGGGTTATTACATGCAGGTTCCTCTCTCTCTCTATTTTCCCTTATAACATTAGATTATGATTTTTCATACAGTATGGCCTACTGGTGGTTGCTGGTTTGTGGGTCTCTCTCTGTCAAGTGTTGAGCTTAAATCGTGTTAATTTGTGCATATTATAATATAAAAAACTAAGTTTTCTCACATTGGTTGTTGTCGGTTCCTCTTTGAGGAATTGGTTTGTGAGTTCCTCTCTCTCAAGTGTGTTGAATTTAAACCGTGTTAATTTGTGCATGTTATGATAAAAAAAATTTATAGCATAATATTAGAGTTTTACCATCTTAATTATTAAAAAAATTTCACGTGATAGACTAAAAAATTAACTCTAACAACTTACTCTTTCGNAAAAAACTAAGTTTTCTCACATTGGTTGTTGTCGGTTCCTCTTTGAGGAATTGGTTTATGAGTTCCTCTCTGTCAAGTGTGTTGAATTTAAACCGTGTTAATTTGTGCATGTTATGATAAAAAAAATTTATAACATAATATCAGAGTTTTACCATCTTAATTATTAAAAAATTTTCACGTGGTAGACTAAAAAATTAACTGTAACAACTTACTCTTTCCAAGTAAATAGTTGTTTGTCACCCTATTATGTTTTAAGATACTCAAAATTTACTAAAAAACAGGGTGTCTTTCTTAGTTCTCAAGTTTCAACATGAAAGTCATTAAGTCATTAAATTTTGGGGTCATCTTACAACTTTGATAGTTTAAGTTGTAAATTTTAGGGGGTAAATCTTAAAAAGTTATATATGATGGTATGGTTCCAAGAATTGTAATTTTTTTTTTTACTACAAGGTATTTAGATTTGTACTAACTACTTTTTCGAACTCTGAATACCGTGACTTGAGTTAAGTTAGAGTATATTTCTAAAGAAACAAAANCTTTGATAGTTTAAGTTGTAAATTTTAGGGGGTAAATCTTAAAAAGTTATATATGATTGTATGGTTCCAAGAATTGTAATTTTTTTTTTACTACAAGGTATTTAGATTTGTACTAACTACTTTTTTGAACTCTGAATACCGTGACTTGAGTTAGGTTAGAGTATATTTCTAAAGGAACAAGTTGGTTAACCTTTATAAGGTATGAGAAAGAATTAAACATGAGATTTTTAAGTTACTAAACATTTACTGAATCACGATAAATTAGGGTTGTTGTTTAATTTGCTTGGCAGAAAAATCAAATAAACATAGAAGTAAGATGACATTTGTGATACTTTGGATGCAGATGTCATACAAGTTTTTGCTACAAGTGTGGAGGAGAGGTACACGGGGATGTTTGTGATTGTAGAAGGAGTTGTACAAGCTGGATTGCGCGGATACTACTTTTTCAAGCTCTTGTTTTTAATATTGCTATGATCGTTTTGCTGTTTTGGTAAAGGTACGAAGATCAAAATTTTGTTTCGAAACGTTTTTGTTTTTAANGATACTACTTTTTCAAGCTCTTGTTTTTAATATTGCTATGATCGTTTTGCTGTTTTGGTAAAGGTACGAAGATCAAAATTTTGTTTCCAAACGTTTTTGTTTTTAAGGAGATCAAAACAAATCAATAATGAAATCGAAAATTTAATATTTTGAGGTGTTTCGTAATATATCGAGGTTTTCTGTAATATTTTAATGTATTTGTACAATTATTTCAGAATATTTTAAGGTATTTTTAAAATATTTTGGTATATTTCAACCAATACGTTGGAAAAAATTATTTATTTTTTTCATTTTATTTTTGAAATAAATCGAAATAATTCCGAAATACGTCAAAATGTTTCCATTTTTTAGATGATCAAAATAATACACTGAAATAAAATTTTAATCCTTAATAAATACTTAGTTTATACCTTTCTCCAGTAACTTAAAATTTTAAATTGGAAAAATTGGAAGGGAGTACACAAAATTAGATTTAATTATAAAAAAGTACACAAAATAAAATGTTGGATAATTAAATCCTTAATTTTGATACTTATTTGTATCTAAGTACATTATTTAAATTTTACTGTTTTTTTGTGACATTTTTGTCCTCTATTGATCCATGTGTATTTTCTTTGAAAAATGATGCATTAAATATTTTCTAGTTTTATGGAAAAACTTTAATATTCTATATTTGTTTGTCCTCCCTTGATTCATGCGTATTTTTTTTTTGAAAAATAGTTTTATTTTCAAATTATATTAATATTTTAATAGTGTAATAATAGTAATGTAACAAACCATTTATACAAAATATTGTATTATTACGTTTTGTCAAACATATATTTTAATATAATTTCATTCAAAACAGTCCATCTCCGTTTTGAATTTGTTACCATATGCACAAAATTATTGAACACTGTTTTTGTTATAGTGTATTTGTTACACTGTTTTTGTTACAGTATTATGAAGTTCAGATATTAACAAATTTTGAAATTCAAACAAGTGATATATTCTAAAATAAGCGGAATATTAAAATTTTCCTATAAAACTATTAGTAGGAAATATTTAATGCATAAATATAATTTGAAAAAAAAATCACTTTTCAAAAAATATACGTATGAATTAAGGTGCATTAAAAATAAAAAAAATTTGAATTAAATGATCCTAAATTTCAGTGTTTAATAAATGCCTTGCTAAAATTTTTAGAAATTTTTTTTTTCCAAAATGGGCATTTATGTCTTTATATCTCAGTTATGTAATTTTTTAAAAAATATCTTGTTCTATATATTTTTTTACAATTATATCTAATTTAGAGTANAGAAACATACTAAATCATGTAGACTCTGTAGACAATTGCAAAACTTGAAATCTCAAGCATGTATTGTTTTGTATATGGAGATATCTCAGGTACTTCAAAATTGACTTTTTTGGATGACTTTGTGCTATTTTTCAATCAAATGAAATCGAACGTGGCAAAACTTTTAGCATGAGACCTAACTTGGCACATGGGTGAAATTGTTTTCTTGTGGCCCAAGTGTAGGTACCAAAACAATCTATCTGCACATGCAAAGGTAACGTTGCGTCCATCTTACCCTCCCTACATCCACAGTGGTGATTGCCTCATGCACTGAACTCCCTTTAAGCTTATTGCTTTCCAATGCTGAAGTTTCATTGTTGCAAACATAAATTTTGCATTTGTTAATGATCAACAGTAACTCAATCGAAAGCTAATTCATTTCAAAGAGGGAAAAAAAAAGAAGAGAAGAGAAACAACTAAAGAAAATTATCCAATGCTTAAAGTTCTGCCTCAATTTTAGCAAGTGGTTGCATAAAACTCGAGTGACAAAAACCAAAGAGTCCTTAAACGTTCATAAATTGTTTATTTTTTTTCCCTCACAATTTTGTCGGTAACCAAACAGAAAATGACCCAAACAAACACAGGATCTCATTTTCTAAAATGCACTCAAAATAACATAAAACAAGAATTGCAATTCTATAAGCAAATCCGATGCTCCTTTTGCTACTTATCTTATGTTTGTGCAAGAAAAGGATCTTTAACCAAACGAAATCCCCAATTCTGAAGCGAAAGTAAAATTAAACCCTAGTTCGTGTGTGTGTCCTACTGTCCTATGCAGAGAGAGAGGGTAAACCTGCATTTAACAATCCTGCAACCTTCAATAAGCTCCACAAAATGGTGGCACTGGGGACACCTCTTCCAGTGCTTACGTTCCACAAGCACACCAAAAGCAGTATCATCCCTATCTCTCAAATCTCCACTCTCTTGGCACCCAAAACCCGCGTGCCAAGAAAGTTTGCACTGAAAGCAAAACAACCTCTTGCAATTCGGACACTTCGATCTCTTCACGATTCCACCACACTCATTCACAACCAACGCCGAGCAATTTCTATCGGGACAGTAACAACGGTCGAGCCCCAAAAGAGTATCTTCACAGAGGACGTCGCACCATTTATCAAACAGTTGCCGGGAGATAATGGGTCTGCACGAAATGGGGTCTAAGAATTGCTCGCAATTCAAAGCTGGGCATTTGATTTTGGCTACGTTTTCGGAGATTTTCACGTCGATGAACTTGATAATGCAATCTAAGCAAAATGGGTGTGTGCACTTGTTTTTGTTCTTGAATTTCTTGCTGGACAACATGGGTTCGATGCATATTTCGCAAGTGAAGGTTGAGTCATGCTGTTCTTCATCTTCTACCTCTTGGACTTGAAGTTCCACAGAATTTTGGATGGGTTTTTGTAGTGAATTTCCCATTCTCTTGCCTAAGATTGAGAGAAATACATCAAAGAGCCTGCTCTAGTTATACGGATTTGTTTTCACATGTTTGATGCTGTTTCCTAGTAAATCCAAATTGTTTTAATGTTCTGTTTGTTACTCGTTTCCAAGCAATAAATGAAGATCGAGCGTCTCTGGTACCGTAGAAGCGAAAGGGACGAGATTGTGTGATGCCCCAAATCTTGATGTCCAAGGCAGCCAACCTACCGTGCCTCTTTTACGGTAAGACACTACCTAATTATGCGAGGAAACCTTTAGGGCTGTTTAGTAAGGGGGGTACGGGGGATTTGAGAAGGTGAATTTAGAAAAAATAATCTAAAAGACTTCTAAATTTTATATTTGGATTGAAAATTCAATCTTGAGTTTTCACATCCGACCCGTAACTGATCCGAAAATTAAACTCATAAACATGAATTTTGTCAAACCTAAGGAGGAGATGGGTTGAGAAGATGGGTTAAGGGGTTAAGGATATAAAAGGTAATTGTACCTCTTAACATGAGTATGAATTAAATTGATCAAAGATAAAATTGTCATTTATAGGACAAATAATTATGATATATCCGTGAGTCTTATATGTGTATGTGTTGTATACCAAATATGAGTATGAACCGAATTAAATGTTAAATATCGTCTTTGTAAAAAAAAATTTGAGTTTAGAGAAGTCAATTCAAAGCTCTCCCTAAAATTCATTCAAACAAACCCTTTAGGGTGATCCAACTAGGGGTTGTCTTGGATTTCAGCTTTGTTAATTCATACATGTCAAATATAATTTTTTCTCACATTTTTTAGGGTGTTTCACTCTTGTCCATTAAAAAACATGCTCTGACTTAATTCAAACTATGATGACTACCCACTGAATTTAGGAAAATAGTCGCTGCAAGTTTAAACACTCTATAACAAAAAAAATTTAATTACATGAGAATAACTATTGGTCTAAATGCCAACGTCCCTGCAGTTATTCCTAAATGTTGTACTTTTGAACTTCATCATCCCTCTTCTCGAAATAGTATATGACAAAAAAAAAATCACATTACTTGATGTTACTATGTAATTATAGATTTATACGTCAATAGGATGAATACAATTTTTTTACATGGATAATTATTCTCTTATATGCATAGATAGTAACTAAATCATATGATTTTTATTCGTTTACATGTTATTTTATTATTAAACAGTGATATTACGTGATAATGATAACAATATATGAACATTAAATATTTTTCCTAATTTTATGCTTAGAAATATGAAATTGAGAAATCTTAAAAAGAAAAAAGTATGGTTGGTTAGTAGGACAGAACTCAATCACTTGGACGAAACGTATTTAAGTTTCTGGTGCGGGTTTGAATCCCCACCAAAATATAAGTCCTAAGTTAACTGGTATATAGGTTGAGGGATCAATTCACATATTTGAAATTTGTTCTCAGTTCTACACAGGCTCGCAACATAAGTGTCTCTCTACTCACCAAAGACAGACCAGAAATTTCTCCCATTTAAAAAAAAAAAAAAAAAACCAATATTTGGAATTGAAAACTAATGGTTTAAAGTGTTGATGACTTTGATAATCAGGCTCAAGAACCCATTATAAAGAAAATATTAAATTAGGTAGAATCAAAGATGAAAATTTTCTTCATTGCTGTTGATCTTTGCTTGGAGTAGGCTGTCAATTTTATTTGTTCACTCAAACACGATGCAAATTTGACATAATTTGAATTTAAAAATAATATGATGTATTATTATGAATAACAATCATGTTAATGTTAAACATAAATAAATCATTTCAATTAGCTAATGTAAGAAGAAAAAGAGTTTCTCTTTTTTTTTTTTTCTGAATTAAATAGTTCAACAATAGCATCAACTTTTATCCGAACACGCCACAAATGAAAATGATTTGTATATAAGACAACAGAAAATAACAAACGTTTGCAATGAAGTTGGTGTACATAGCACCACACTTTCCTAAAAGCACTTACCTATCATCGTGCACACCCACGAGGAAATATTGACTGCTAGAGGGAAGAAAATGCTTCTTTCCAATGTCACTTATCTTCATGCAGTTGGTGTGAAATTTCTTGTTACGCAAGTGGAGAATGGACCCACGGGTTGGATGGGTCCAAACTTGTGTTTCAAAGGTTTTCTTTCTGCCTCAAGGAAAGGTTTTAAAAACGAGTTTGGATCAAAGTTGGAGATTTAATATGCTATAATGCTTGTATATTCGTTCATAGGTCAAATCGGATATATAATTGTTAAAATAATTGTTGAAAACTCAAATGAGTGGACGATGAGATTCTATTGATACAAAGCCAATTCTAATAAATTTATTGAAGGGTCTCATTGGTGTTCATGCACTAGGAATTGAACCTACGAATTTGCCAATTATGAGTTTGACGCTTTAACCATTCAGCCATGGATTCTTAGCGGGGACCCTCGTACATGTTGAATAACCAAATTCCAATTGAAATAAAATCTAAATCAGTAAAATTAAGGGTAAAATGTATTTCATTCATAAAATTAAGGGTAAATTGTATTTTATACTTTGAAAGATTTTAAAATTCTCATTTTGTACTCATAACTATTGAATTTCTTATATTATACTTCAATGTATCAAAAGTATTGTAATATGACCATTCAGTTAACTTTTCATTAATTTTTGGTCAATGGGTTTAGTTTTTGATAGAAAAAATAACGGAAGATAACAAAAGAGTCACATTACAATATTTTTGATATATTCAGGGTATAATATGAAAATTTTAATACTTAAAAGAACAGAGTGAGAATCTTTAAAAAATTTTGGATATAAAGTGCAAAAAAACCCTAAAATTAATTTAATTATATTCAAGGGTTAAATGCAAGTAATGATCGGACTTTTAAAAGGGTCAACAATTTGTGTTTAACTGTCTTTAAAGTCTGGCTATTAGAAGGCCAAATCATTTGAAAGGTGGGTGGGCCTTTTCGCTTACGCCTACAAAAGCTGGTTTTATCAATTGATCCACCATATGTTGTGTGCAGAAATAAATTTATTTTTTTTTGGGTCAGAAATAATCTATTCGTTCGTGCAAAACAAAATATTCAATGTTTGACATGTACCATAGGTGGTGTATATAATATATAATAATAATATTATATATTTTAAATTAATTATTATCACTTATTATATTGTCAAAACACTTTTTTTTAAAAAAAATCAGCATATTTATCTAACAAGCAAGTGATGTGATGGTTTCTTGTTGGGCATTTCTCCATTGATGCATATTGACATAGACATGGTTAACATATATTGGGTAAATCACATCCCTTGAATTTTGATATATTTTTTTTTTTGAGCATGCCTTGAATTTTGATTGAAAACATGAAAATTATTTGACAATTGAAAACTTGGCATGGACCCTTGAGGGATTTTTTGTGTGACAATGCTTCAAAAGGAATATTACAGCATTTATTTGTATAAGAATTATAATAAATAAAAAAAAAGGAAATATTTGAATGTAAATATATTTGCCTATGTTAACCTTTTTTTTCTTTGGTTTAATAGCGTGAGGTGTTCAAATCAGTTTATATACATCTATATTAATCTCCTCTCTAGTCCGATTAAAACAGGTCATCCACACCGGAATTAAAATATTTATGAAGGATAAATCTCTTATAACCTGACCCCAAAGAATTGTCAAAATTCAAACTCAAGAATTTTAATTTTTCAATTTATCTTTATTATTACTTGAACTACGAGTTGACTTTTATTTTATTGAAACGACATTTCAACCAAAAAATAACTTTGGTGATTGATTCTCATGTTTTATTTTTCGAAGTCAAGAGTTCTTTGTTTAATTTGTCAAAGGTGCGAGGAAAATTTACCCTATTTTATATATATATATATATCCTTATGGAAGTAGTGTAATAGTACCGGACGAAATTTTGACTTGTTCAAGAAACAAACAATAAACCATTCGGGCATTCATAGTTAAACAATGGGCTATTTAAGTTGTCACCCCTCACGTAATTCTCAGATTACAAAGTCAGTTGCTATTTTATAATGTACTTATAAATTTATTTTCTTCTGGGTTTTCTCAATGATCACCAGTTCACAACTAA